TAAAGTACCATAAAGAACTCAGAACAAAAATAAGCCAAGTCTTCAGAAGGAGAGAAGAACAAACACACAGATGCAAAGGGCATTTTGTCACTGAAGACATTGCTAGGTGGGGGCACGGAAATACTGATATCATTAGTGCTGATTTATAGGAAACAAAATGCTCCATTTGAAGAGCCCTCGATGGCTTTTAGCAAAAATGCAAACTCTTTTGTATCAGAAAATGGGAGGAAAGTGCTACATTTTCCTCTGATTTAAAAAATTCTGTTGATCAACTGTTTCACCAGATGTTGATAAAAACAGTAGCAAAGCACAGCATGGTTTACTGGTGTGATTTCCATGGAACCATCCACAGGAAGCCATTTTTCCATGCTGCTTATTTCTTGACTGCCCTGATCCGTTGCCACTCTTCAGGGTTTTGAGGGGGGGGTGCGTTTGCACAACGTGCTGCTGTATCCTTAAACCCTCAAAGACAGGAGACGGCAAGAAATGGGTCTGGGATCTTCAAGTGGACTAGATTGCCAGTGGGGTGGAGTGGATAGACTCTGAGAACAGGGATTGAATCCCCACTGGGCCACAAAAACTCACTGGGGGAGTGGAACTGGTAAAACCACTCTTTAAACATCTATTTGGGTTGCTATAAGTCCGTTTGTTAACCACCTTTTATCGGAGTTCGATTGAGAGCATATTATCCTACTGTCTCTGTGTATGGTTCACGAGCTGCACAGTGGCAGAGAAGAAGGCAATTCAAAGGGTGATTAAGACGGCCCAAAACATCATTGGCTGTTCACTCCCCTCTTTGGAAGAATTGTATAAGAACAGATGTAAGAGGAAGATATCTAACATACTGAAAGACTCCTCTCATCCGGGACATCAACTCTTTAAACTATTACCATCGAGAAGGAGCCCTGATCCGTTGCCACTCTTCAGGGTTTTGAGTGGGGGGAGCTTTTGCATAACGTGCTGCTGGATCCTTAAACCCTCAAAGACAGGAGATGGCAAGAAATGGGTCTGGGATCTTCAAGTGGACTAGATTGCCAGTGGGGTGGAGTGGATAGACTCTGAGAACAGGGATTGAATCCCCACTGGGCCACAAAAACTCACTGGGGGAGTGGAACTGGTAAAACCACTCTTGAAACATCTATTTGGGTCGCTATAAGTCCATTCTGACTTGGCTGCACAGAACACACGCACAACTGCAAAGTCTGTGCATACATGCATTTCAGTGCATGAACGTACAAAATGTCACAGCTTCCTTTTCATCCATACCTCCCTGCAAAGATCTTTATAGAGAGGAAACAATGGTGTCCCTCTCTGAATCTGTAAAATCTCAGAGAGCCTGCCACTGCCACGGTGGGTGCCCTGCCTTAAGCGTGGTTAAAAAGAATGTAGTGCTTCTAAGAAGGGTAGCTTCTGGTCGCTGAATAGAGGGCCACCTAGGAAGTTCACACTCCCTACCCTGAGCTAGAGATATTAACAACAAAGCATTGCTATGCAAATTAGCTCTGCTCCCAAGAAAATTGTGGAAGGCTTTAAAATGATCAGCGAATCCTGACTGTTGTTCCTTTGTGCTGGGAAATGGTATGCGTGTGTGGTTGTCACAGAAACAGACTGACAATCAAATGCTTCCTCCCTTTTGTAATGGCAGTGTGATGATGGAGAAAATGTAACCCAGAAGAAGCGTTTTGGCTGCTCTCCATCGACCAGCACCCGGGATAGATGAAAACAACACGCACCGCTTCCTTTTAGGCTAGGCTTGCAGGATGCTGTCCCACCTGAGGCTGAGCTAATGAACTCACCTTGTAGATTGCAATAATAGACCGAACTGTTAATAGCACATTCTGGAAATGTGTTTGTGGGGGGGGGCACACACTCCTATTGGCAAATGTAATAAAATAAAGCAGAATACTGGGAAGCAAGCGAAGCTTCGCTGGGGGGAAAGAGCTTTTATGGTTTTTATATTGTTAGGGGGTTCTTACTGCAATTATCTGGCAGTCATTACTCAGCTGCTTTTTCCCCCAGGTGTCCCCCCCCCCCAACAGTTGCTCTTCTGTTGTGCGAAATAATTTTATTTTCCCAGGGCTCCAGACCGACAGTATCTTCTTGCTAGGCTGATGCAGTGCATCAGGGTTGTGAGCCCACTCCCTTGTTTGCGAACTGCTTTTGCTTTACACTTTGGGTCTCCTCAAGCCTCATTCAGTTCCCTGCTTAAACCAGACCTGAAATGTTCTTTTTTTAACACACACCCCTGAAATTGAGGATCGAGGTTCCCACATAACGTCTGCTGAACATCCAGACCCATGTGGTTGCCTGTTGAGTGAGAGCCAGCGTGACATAGTGGATAGACTAAGATTCCTTTAAGCCCAAGTCCTTTAAGTCTTTCCTCATCAGGCTTTTCTCCCCCAGTCCCCTTCTTGTCCACTCCACATTGAAAGGAAATGTACTAATGCCATCACACTCAGTTGTCTCTTTCTTCATATGAAAACCACATATCTGTAGCAGACAGCCTGTTCTCTGTGTGAACCAGAACCTTGATTTTTCCACACTCTGGCCTGCACTGAGCCTCCAGACATAAGACAGTTTCCTCATAAGACATGTTGCTTTTGTGGTAAGAATGGAACAGTGGTGCAGAACGGGGGCTAGCATCCTCCGTCCTCCCAGCCTCACACAAGGAGCGCACACACTTCTCTAACACCAAAACAGGGCTGCAGTGTCTCACTAAGCCAAAATGTATCAGAAAGTTTTCTTGGTAAATACTTTGAGATCTTTCTTTTTTTCAGCTGCCTTCCAAACTACTGGAAATTGTTGCCTACAAACAGCTGGTAAATCCTCTCCCCCTCATTGGTTTCCAGCAGTTGTTCCTGTTGTCATTAAGACACTTCCAACCTATCCATGAATGACCCCCAAAAGGTCCTGTTGTTAACAGTCCTGCTCAGGCCCTGAAAACTCAAGGCCCTGCCTTCCTTTATTGAGTCAATCCATTTTATAGTGGGTCTTCCTCTTTTCCTGCCACCCCCAGCTTCCCTTCCCCCCCAAACATTATTGTCTTTTCCACGGTATCTTCTCTTTTCATGATGTGCCAAAAGTACATTTCACTTCAGTCATTTTTGCCTCTAGGGAGAGTTCAGACTTGGTCTGATCTAGGACCCACTTATTTGTCTTTCTGGCCGTCCATGGTATCTGTAAAGCTCTCATGCAACATAACATTCCAAATGAATGAACTGATTCTCAGTTAGCTTTCTTCACTTTCTAGCTTTCATATCCAGACCAGGAATACCATAGCATGGATTAGCTTCATCTTGGTCTCCATTAACAAATCTTTTCTAGTTCTTTCATAACCATGCTTCCAGGTCTCAGTCTTCTTCTGATTTCTCGGTTGCAGTCTCCATTTGAATTGACTGGAATATAGTTTTGTTTAACAGTGGCCATTTTTGCCTTTTCAATGTTAAAGTTGTGTAGTTCTTACCAGTTCCCCAGTCAGTTTCTATAGCTGTGTGGAGATCTGAACCCTGTTCTCCTGAGTCCGAGTCCGTTGCTCTATCCACTACACTACACTACACTGGGATACCTGTTGTAGTCTATGAAGGCATATATTCTGAAATTCTTTGGTATGCTCTAGTAGCCAACATATATGTGTTTGCATGACAATATTGAATGCCTCTTCATTTTCTGAATGTAGCTTGACCATGAGGCATTTCTTGCTCCCTGTGTGGTAAAAGTCTCCATTACAACACCTTTATCATCACTTTGTTTATATGATAATTTTTTAAAAATGGTCCTATAGTTACTGACTCCTTGGAGTGTTTGCATGACAATATTGAATGCCTCTTCATTTTCTGAATGTAGCTTGAACATGAGGCATTTCTTGCTCCCCGTGTGGTAAAAGTCATTACAACACCTTTCTCATCACTTTGTTTATATGATAAATTTTTAAAAATGGTCATGTAGTTACTGACTCCTTGGAGTCCTTTTTTTTAATTTTATTTTTTTGAGGACTGGAACATTTCAAGTCTGTGGCTCATTGTTTTCTTTTCCATATTAGTTAGCATATTCTTCTTGGGATTTTGAGAGATTCGGTCTCTGCAGCTTGAAATAGTTCTATTAGTGTCCCATCTGTTCCTTGCTTTGATAGCAGCTTTCACTTTCTTTTCTAAAACTGTGGGTTTTTCATCCCAGAATTCTTCTTCAACGCAATCTGTCTTCTTTGCATGTTCCCAATATACTGTTTGTATATTGTTTCCACTTTCCCTTTGTTTTATCCTTTATTTTATACACTGGCAAATATGGTAGAAAAACACCCATAGAACTGCTGTTATTACATGTTATTTGGACTTCAGTGTCGCTTGACTCAGGTTATTTGGACCTTAATATCACCAGATTTCATCACCCAACTTAGAATGCTATTCTACTGTAGGAAGGTAAGCTGTGGGTGGAGACGAGAGCTCTTTATTTCTCACCTGTGGTTGTCTTTTTGATACCCTCTCTTTTTCATTAATAGGTTCAGGTCTGAATATATAGAACTGTCATACCTAACTTAATTAACCTGCTTAATCAGTGGCTCTTACTGGCTTTGGCTGTGGCAGACTCTCAGAGCTTAAAAATGTTTTAGATGACTTTTCCAGACAACAAATCCAATAACTTGCTTTGTCGAGAAGTCTTAGAACTGTAGTTCAAACAAGCAACCATTCCAAGCTTGCTAATTGGAATCCCTTATTAATTATCTGGAACCCTTTGTGAATTTGTGTCTCCTATTGCTTTGTTTTGGTTTCATCAGTGGAAGCAACACAGAGCCAGGAAGGAAATCTCCATTCAGGGCTCTTCAGATGGAGCAATGACAGAAATTTTTTTTTTCCAATAGCAAAAGACTAACAAGTCACTCATTGAAACTAAGTGGTAGAGTTGATAATGTCAGTGGCAAACACCCAACATTTATGCATGGCCATTATTCCAGCATTGGTTGACAATATATAGATATTGGCTCACTGTTTTGTTTTTCCTTTCAGAAGTCATTCTTCTTCCACACGTCATCCTAAAATGGAAGCTCCCCTGGTAAGCCTGGATGAAGAGTTTGAAGATCTGAGGCCATGTTACATAGAAGAGAGAGAAGAGAAAGCATGTTATTTTTATGGCTGCTCTTCCCAGCTTTTAGAGGATCCCTCTCTTTCTGAGCTTGAGAACTTTTCCTCTGAGATCATTAGCTTCAAGTCCATGGAGGACTTGGTCAATGAATTCGACGAGAAGCTCAATGTCTGCTTTCGAAATTACAATGCCAAAACAGAAAACTTGGCTCCGGTGAAAAACCATCTGCAGATACAAGAAGAGGAGGAAAACCTGCAGGATGAGGAGTAAGTAGATTGATACGTTTTATATTTGCTTGTTCTGTCGCTAAATTGTGGGTGATGGTGGTTGTGATTTGTATCTTTTATTTCTGACCATCTTGATTTCGATCTTATAATAGAAATGTACATTGTAAGTGACCATGCTGGATAGCTCAGTTGTTGAGGTATCTGGCTGAGGAGGCAGAGATTGGGAGTTTGATTCCTCACTGTGCCTCCTGGGAGAAAAGCCAGCCTGTGTCGCTTTGGGTAAGCTGTACAGTCCTAGGGAAGGGTAAACCACTCCCTGTTTTCTGACTCCTAACAGAGCTCAGCAGAGGAATAAAATTGAGACAGACCCGTGGGGGCAAGTGACTAGGGAGAGCTAACAGAAGTCCGATGGGCATTTTTTTTATGGAGGAGCTCAAGGTGGAGGCTTCTAACATTTTTTTTTTGTTTCTGGATATAGTTATATATTAATGAACTTTCCCAGCACCCTTCAAGGTAGACAAGACAGAGGAAAGGAAAGGACACTATTAGACAAACAGAAGAAAGTAAAAAAAGTTAAAATGGATTATGGAGGGAAGTGTGTGTAATTTTTGTCTTCATGCCAGAGAACAACACAGAGAACACATATAGCAGGTGCAAACTGGTAGGATTGCTGGAAGAAAATGTGAAAGAACTGGGAGTTTTAATCCAAGAACAACTGGGGACACAAAGTTGGGAACCATATCTAAATATGAATGCCAGGACTTTGGGAAACAAACAAGATGAACTGGATATCTTAGTTCAGGAGGGTAAATATGAATTGATAGGAATATCTGAAACTTGGTAGGATGACTCTCATGATTGGAACACAGCAACTGAAGGTGGAGTCACAGTACCTATAAAAAAAAATTCCTCAACAAAAATGCAGGCGGATGGGTTTTGTTGTTTCACTGAAAGCATCTGGAAAAATATAACTGAGGCAAAATAGGAACTTAGTAGCTGGTAGTTGGAGTCTGCTACCAACTACCCAATCAAGAAGAAGAGACCTTTGAAAAATAAATTGCAAGAATTTCAAAGAGGCACAACATAGTAGTAATGAGAGATTTCAATTATCCTCCTAGCTGTTAATTATCCGCTGATAATTTTCTCCTACAAAAAGTGATGGGAAGAAACGATAGCAGTAAGCTAACCTTGACTTGAGTTTGACCAGTAAAGATGACTTGGTGGAAGTAGTGGCAGTAAGGGGAACTCGGGGGGGGAAAGTGAACATTTCAAAGGAAACAAAAGCACATTGTGGCCACACCTGTACACTGGAGTATAGGAAAGCCAACTTTAATAAATGCAGAACATTGACCAGCAAAAGTAAGATACATTATTTAAATTAGGAGACATAAAAACAATCTAAAAACATTAAAAACACTAAAAACACCAAAGCATTAAAAACATCTATATACATATATACAGTACATCTTACTAAATATCTCCTACCTCCCTATCATAGGCCTTATCTATGGGCTATTACAGCTTGCATAGAATGCCAAAATGGTTACTTTGAAGCTCATAGAGCCCATGTGATCGTTATACCAAATTGGTATACACCAGTTTACAGATTCTATAGCTGTGTTTTAGGTGGAACCTTTCCTTCATGGATTTTAATTGCAGCATCACAGAATTTAGCAACTTTTGTCAGCATATCTGAATTTAGCCCAGTGTATCTGCCAGGGCATCGCCCTGTCAGCAAAAGCAGTGTGTAGTATGATTGTCCAGGAAATGCCCTTATGTAATGGTCTAAATGGACTTCTCAAATGTCAGAATAAAAAGCACAATGAAGTAACACATGGGAGATAGATTCAATCTCACCAGAGTTACAGGGGCATAAACGCTTAGTGTAAGGGGTGTTGTTATACTTCCCTTCCTGGACTGCTGACGGAAGTGCATTGAAGCGGGCCAGAGTAAGAGCTTTGCGTTGTTTAGGTGTTAAGGGCAAGTAGAGATATTTTGCCGGTTTGGGTGGAAGCAGTGCATTTTCAAGTATAAACCTATGTCTGATAGTACCAAGGTCCTGCTGCCTTTCTGTCTCAATAATACGCTGCCTAAGATTACTCTTGGCCTTAACGTATCCCATTTGTTGGATACATTCTACTGAATAGCTGCATCTGTTGATTTCATGGTATATTGCTCTCTTCCAAGGTGACTGATGGCTATCCTGTAATACCAGTGAAGTCAGTCCAATTGGTTGAAAGGTTAGTTTTAGCCAAAAGTTAAAAATAGCCAGCCAAAGAGTTCTTGCCTTGGATCCCCTTGGATGCTGATTCTCTCAAGGTTCTCCACCAGCACTGAGGTTTCTTTTTATTGATTCTTCCTGCCTTCCTCACAGCCCATCATTTTCACCTCTCACACATGACAGGAGTCAGGGGATTTTGGGAATGTCGTGCTTTCTCCCCTCAGCATTGTGCTCCCAACTTTTCTAATCCCAAATTAATAAATCTAAGCGGGGCTTAGCAAGTAGAGGGGGAAAGGGATCAAAGGAATCCCACGGCTGCATGATCGCTTTGATCCCTTTCCCCCTTGTGCAGCACGGGATTGCTTTGATCCCTTTCCCCCTCCTTTTGCTAAGCCCCATGGGACTTAGCAAGTGGAGGGGAAAGCAGGGATCAAAGTGATCCTGCAGCCCTTTGATCCCTGCTTTCCCCTTCCACTTGCTAAGCAAAAGGCAGCAGTGGCATTGATTCCCGCCTCAACCACTCCTTGCCTTTGGGAGTCCCCCAAAGTTCTCCCAGGTTCTCTGGTCTGTCTTGGAATGGACATCCTGCTGAGGGCGATCCTTGCCATCATCCTTCCATTCACCTCTCCTCACCCTCTCTTGGACCTTTGTCTCTTCCTGCTTTCCCTCTATATCGGGGGCTTCCATGGTACCTCTTCCTCTCTACTTTTTCTCTGGGCATCATCAACTTTTCCCTCTCCAAGGGTTCTCCAACTCTATTTAGTCCCACTCTTCTGGTAGGACTGCTTCCTTCTTTTTGCTCTCTGTTCACCTGGAGTCCTCTGCCCTTCTCCCTCTTGCCCCATCTTTATATCCTTCCTCCTGCATCTTCCCCATTTCCCACAATTTCTTAAACTTTCTCTTTCTCCCATGGTGTCTTTATTTTCCCCTTGATGTCCTCTAATTCCTGTTTCATGGGGTAGAGGGGATGGCACATGGATGGAAAGCAGGTTCCTCTTGCGCCCTTGCTTACAGTGGGCAACATGGACGATCAGGGGAACAAAGCCCTGTGAGGAAAGACTGAAACGACCAGGCATGTTTAGCCTTGCAAAAAAGGAGACTCAGTCAGGGTGGTAAGAACAGGGAAGGGCTGGAGAGGAATCAGGAAGACCTTAATCTTTGAAAACAACTCGTTCTTGGATACAAGTTCCAAGCAGGGCTTAGAAATATTAATTTTTGGACTCTCTCTCCCAGAACCCCCATAGCCGTTAGCAATACTGATTAGGATGTTGAGAATCATTGAAATATATAGCCATTAGCAATACTGACTAGGATGTTGAGAATCATTCAAATATATATATTTGAATGATTCTCAACATCCTAATCAGTATTGCTAACGGCTATGGGGGTTCTGGGAGAGAGAGTCCAAAAATTAATATTTCTAAGCCCTGCTTGGAACTTGTATCCAAGAACAATACTGATTAGGATGTTGAGAATCATTGAAATATATAGCCATTAGCAATACTGACTAGGATGTTGAGAATCATTCAAATATATATATTTGAATGATTCTCAACATCCTAATCAGTATTGCTAACGGCTATGGGGGTTCTGGGAGAGAGAGTCCAAAAATTAATATTTCTAAGCCCTGCTTGGAACTTGTATCCAAGAACGAGTTGTTTTCAAAGATTAAGGTCTTCCTGATTCCTCTCCAGCCCTTCCCTGTTCTTACCACCCTGACTGACGTACTCCTTTCAGCTGCCACACACACTGTGTGTGTTGGCGCACCTGTTTGTGTGGGCAGCGCCACCCTATTCACTGCTGTGTTCATTCATCAAGTGCTTGGATATTTTCTGATGGGCACAGCAAAGCAAAGCGCAGGGCCTGCATGTCAGTGCCACCCATATGAACTCCTTTTCCCTCCAGATTAGGAATGGGCAACACTCTCAGGTCAATTTTATCTTCCCCTAGCTCGGGCTTCAGCGTGTACCCCCTTGCCATTGGGGTAAGTGAGGTGATGGCAATAGGAAGTAGACCCCTCCCCTTTGCTTTTCTGGCTCCTCAAAATAATGTATTCTATGTCAGCTCATGGAGAGCAGCCTGAACAGGCACACAAAAAATGACCACATGGCGAACTGCACCCAATTTTTATTTAAACTATTGCAATTATTGTTAAACCTGCATTTATAAATACACATTGTATATTAACATATGCAAATATTATGCATGTCTGCATCCTCTTGTTTTGTTGATTTATTTCCCTTGTTTTCCCTTGAGATGGCCTAGTTGGCCACACACAGTCTAAATGCTTCTAAGATTATTTCATTATGACATGTGGTTATCAAGCCATGGTTTCTGAGTGAAATCTTCAGGGCTGACAGATGAAGAAAGAAAGAGTATTTATTTCAATGGTGGATGTTTAATTTCTCTTTGTTTTACAGTACAAGGATCAGATTTTCCATGATTTTTTTGTAGCTCTTGAATCTGTTGCTCCCCTGTTTAATTCCCTGCAGCTGCTAGAATATTGCCCCCCATCCGGCCCTTTTGGCTTGATCTCAGAAATGTGGCTCGTTTGTTTTCCTAAACAGACTCATTGTTCACTCTTCTAAAGATGTGCCATCAGAGCCTTGCCTTCTCCAAAGCTCAGTTATACGATCTTGCTATCTGATTATCTGATTGGCAGGATTACACTCTGATTGAAATAAATGGCAATATTCTGATTGAGTTGAATGGGGAACTTCTGATGCCAAGTATGCTGCTATCGCTAATGCATATTTGTTGTATACGACATGGTTTATTAGACTGGTAAAAAAAGTCTGATGTGGCCCACAGAAGATTAAAATGTAGTCCCAATGACTTCAGCAAGGACCCAACTCTTTAGGGTCTCAAGCATAAATCATGTTCCCTGGTCATTTCAATATGTGTTATGAGGGCTTTTCTGACAACCCTGGGAATTAAAGACCTCCAAAGGGTCTCTATTAGTTAATGGTTGGGACTTCTTTACTCAGTCCTTCCTCTTTTCCTGGTGCATTCAACTTTTTAAAAAACTGTTGCCTTTCCCAGGGAGTCTTGATATGCCCAGAATATGGTAGCCTTAGCTGAGTTATTTGTGCTTTTAAAGAGAGTTCAGGCTTCACTTGATCTAGCACCCACTTCTTTGTCTTTCCATAATACATAATATAATATATTTAATGATTTTTTTTCTTGTTAACTTGGTTCACTGTCCAGCTTGCATATCTGTACCCAGCAATTGGGAATACCATAGTATAGATTATTTTTGTCTTGGTTTCCAATGAAACATTCTTACCTTTCTGGATCTTTTCTAGTTATTTCATATTTCAGACATATGGACTGAACAGATTGGAAGTTAAATTATAGCCTTGTTTGATACCTCTGTCGATTCTTTTTTTTAAATTTTCTGTGCTAGCTATAGCCTCTTATCCAGAGTACAGGCCATGTGTTAGGCTGTCAAATGTTGTGGTACACACATTTGTTTTTGAATGACCTATGCCTTTTCATTATCCACATACTCAAAGGCTTTACTGTAACACACAGAATGATTTTCCTTCCTGAAAATTCCCCACATGTATTTCCTCTGTGATCTCTCATCCCGCTGCTTTTTCTGAATCTGGTTTACAGTAAATATCAGGCATTTCTCCCTCCATATAGGGCAAGACTGTTATAAAATCTTGAGACTGCTTTGCTGGTATGGAAATGGATGAAATGGTTCTGTGGTTATCACAGTCTTTCTCCTTCCATTGGGATTGGAAATGTATACTGAACCTTCTTAGACCCTGGACCATTGTTTTGTTTTTCATTCTTGTCATGGTTTTGACTGTTTCAGTCTCTCTAACCTGAGATAGCTATAGTATATGGCAACATGAGTTTATAATTCACTTGATGTTGCACCTCGGGTCACCCAGGTGTTCTTGGACTGCTGTTCCCAGAAGCCTTCACCACCAGCTAAGCTGGCCATGGTTTCAGAGAGTTGCAGTCCACAAATACCTGGGCTAGCCAAGGTTGGGAACCACTGCAAGATCAGCATCCTATCTACCGCTTCAGCACTGCAAGATCAGCATCCTATCTACCGCTGGTGATTCATTTACTTCTCTTTTGAATGCAGGTTTCACTTTCAATGTCTAATATTTTGAGTTACTAGTCACCAGATTAAAGGGATCTATCGTGCTTGCACCTCTTCTATAAACAGTACTTTCTTTAGTATATTGTTTCTATTTTCTCTTTATTTTGCCCTGATCAGATAATACATTCCCCTGTTGATTGTTCAATATTCCTAATCTCGGTTTATATTGCACTTATTTCTTGGATCTTTTAGATCTTATTTTTTTTTAATCTCCGAAAAGGATGCACTTATTTCTTGGATCTTTTAGATCTTTTTTTTTTTAATCTCTGAAAAGGAAATCATAGAATAATGAAGGTGGAATGAACCTATAAGGCCATCGAGTCCAACTCCCTGCCCAATGCAGGAATACAAGTCTAAGGAGATCTGCCAGGTGCTTGTCTAAGTTTCACTTGGATGCCTCCAGTGTTGGAGCACTCCCCACCTCTCAAGGTTACACTGATGTACTGCTCTAATAGTTAGGAGGTTTTTCCTGATAATAAACTGAAATCTGGGTTCCTGTAGCTCAAGCCCATTCTTACATGCCCTGCACTCTAGGATGATCGAGAAGAAATCCTGCACCTCCTCTGTATGACAGCCTTACAAGTATTTAAATAGTGCTATCAGATCTCCCCTCAGCCTTCTTTTCTCAAGGCTAAACATGCCCGATTCTTTCAGCCTTTCCTCATAAGGCTTGGTTTCCAGCCCCCTGACCATCCTTGTCGCCCATCTCTGAACTTGTTCCAATGTGTCAGCATCCTTCTTGAAGTGTGGTGTCCAGAACTGGAAACAATACTCAAGGCGAGGCCTAATCAGTGCTGAATAGAAAGGAACTAGTACCTCACGGGATATGGAGACTATACTTCTGTTAATGGAGCCTAAGATAGCATTTGCCTTTTTTGTAGCTAAATCACACTGTAGGCTCATATTCAGCTTGTAATCTACAATGATTCTAAGGTCCTTCTCACTTGTGGTACTGCTGAGCCAGGTTCCTTCTCACTTGTGGTATTGCTGAGCCAGGTTTCTCCCATCTTCTTACTATATGTTCGATTTCTTTTTCCAAGGTACAGTACTTTGCATTTATCCCTGCTGAATTTCATTTTGTTCTTTTCAGCCCAGTGCTCAAGCCTATCTAGATCATTTCAGATTTTGTTTCTGTCTTCCAGGATATTAACTTGTCCACCCAATTTCGTATCATCTGCAACTTTTATTAGCATTCTCTGCACCCCCTGATTCAGGTCATTAATAAAAATGTTGAAGAGCAATGAGCCAAGGATTGGGCCCTGGGGTACCCCACTTGTTACCCCCTCCAAGTTCAAGAAGGATTTGTTCTTGACAGATCTATGTTGGCTTCTAGCTACTACTGCATTGTTTTCAAGGTGCTTACATAATGGCCACTTTATAATCTGTTTCAGAATTTTCCCTGGGATTGATGTCAGACTGACTGGTCTGTAGTTCCCCGATTCTTCTTTTTTGCCTTTTTCCTTTGCTGCTGCTCTCTTCTATTTCTTTGCAAGAATTATCATAACTGCTTTCTTTGTCCCTGCATAGATGTCAATAAAATGTTGTGTTTTGGATACTATCCTACAAAGTGCATTTAGGGTTATGAGATTAAATCTGTATCTTGGTATGCAAAACACATCACCTGAGCTTCAACTAGAGTTCTTGCCTTTTTGGAATATCACTGAGTAGTTGATTAGGAGGGAGATGTGTTTTATCAAAACCAGATATTATAAAACTTTACATTTTTGGAATATGGGTTCCAGAATTCCCGGTCAGCAGAGGCATTGGCAATGCTGGCCAGGTGATTCTGGGGACTTATCATCCAAAGGGATAATTTTTTTACAAGCATGGATCAAAATTGACTGTTTTGATCCTTCCATGAGAGAGACAGCCAAAATATAATGGGAGAAGCATGAGTCAACTTCTCATTTTCATGGGAACTACAGAAAAAGTGAAATACATCTCATAGTCAGCCAACACCTGTGTGTGACCCTCTGGCTGATTTTGCAATGATTTATTCTGTACAAAAAACTATTTGGCAGTAATAGAGTTGTGGACAAATGTACAGTTGATTTGCCATGATCAGTGTCTGTGACATGGGAACTGCATATGAACTCAACAAAATGGAGTAACCTGATTCAGATTATAGGCAACCATGAAATAGGTACAAAGCAACCCCACAGGGTAACAAGAATCCCTTATCAAGGATTATAATTATAACTCAAGGGCTGGGACTGTGATTGCAAAGTATTTTAATATTGCTTCATAGCTGAAAGAAGCCAATAATGCATTATATCATTATTATTGTTGTTAAGATACAAGATGCAAATAATTATAAATCATTGTATTAAAACGAAGGGAAAAAGGGGGCTTCACTGGGGCCTACCCCTGAAAGGACATGCATAGATCTGAACAGTACTTTGCATTCTTGGTGGGAAAGGCTTGAAATGAGTAAGAATTACATTGATTTGCAAAACAGTTATGATTTTATTTCCTGTTTTTAAGATAATACTTGTGTAATTCTTTTTAAATTTTTGTACACTTACTTTTTTTAGCTTTTAAATATTGTCTCTTTAATAATGTAAACTGCCTTGGGTCATTTTTAAGGAGGACAGTACATACATACATACATACATACTTACATACATACATACATACATACTTACATACATACATACATACATACTTACATACATACATACATACATACACCTGGCCCTTACTTTGCTCTGGCCCTTTCCTCTGTTCTCAGATCCACTCACTTCTGGAATGTACATTCTAAAATCCTTCTACAACTAGAAGTAAACCCCAAGGCCAAAAAATAAAACTAAAAACAAAGTCTCAACAACTATCTAGATTTTCAGCTATTCCCACTTGCCTGCATGAAGTGTTATGATCAGCAACTCTCACACTTTCTTTACCAGTGAAAGAATATTGACATGTTTAGTTTACTTTTTTTGTGTGGTGATGTACTGTGTTACACTGTCCACAAGCAGAATGTCTTTAGATTTCGCCCACTGTTAAGCTGAAAACTGTTTTTGTTTCTTTTAATTTGACAAATGATACATTCAAAATCTTCCTGGTCATTTCAGCATTTTTGGACTGGCTCAGGACAAAATGTACTTAAAATTCACTTTGAACGAATGGCAGTGTGGCGCTTTTCTTGGATGCTGTAGGTGGTTTGGTTAATCATAACTGAGTTTTCACCTGAACAGTATATGGCAGTTGTATTGTTCCTGTTTCTTCATGTTCTCTTCTGAGATATTCCTGATGAAAACGTTGTGCTCAGGAAAGCAACCCCTGTTGCCAAGGCAGCTCTCCTCTATTAACATAATCTTGGTTTCTTTCCCAGGGTTTGGGATGCGCTCACGGACAATTACATCCCATCCATCACTGAGGACTGGAGGGATCCGAATATTGAGGTGCTAAACGGCAACGTCTCTGACACAGAGGTACTTACCTGGAATTTTCTCTGCTCCTTCCCACTCCATTAATCTTAGGATGAAATGTTTGGCAAGCTGGTATAGCAGCCTTGTTTGATAGGAAGAAGGCAATTGACTAGCTCCATCAATGCATGCAGAAATGAAAAAGACAGCCTGCTACGACCCTAGAAACAGGACTAACAGAAAACTGAGAACGAAGCGCTTGTCAGAAAATGGAATTGGTCTCCCAAAGCTTCTTGGATTATAGCTGTCAACCTCCTTGGTGGTGGAGAGGCATATGTAATGAGGGAGACAGGGGATGAAACGGTCTGATCTGTGTGTGCGCAAAGGGAGACATTGTCCTCCGGGCCATTGTGTGCTCTGAGACTGACATTGACGACGTCTGTACCGCCTTCTACCCTGACACATTGGGAACAATAGGGTGGCCAGCCTTCTGAACAATAGCGCCTGTGATGGCAAAGGAAAGCACACAGCCCTGGTGCTGAGAATCAACTACGGCCTTGTGATTCTGCAGTGTTTGTTGTTGAAAGACAGGGACAGGGTGCTGACAGACTGGAACAGTACTGAAACAGCAAAGTGCTCGTTTGCCTTTTTCCCTCCATAGTGGTATTCGGGCTTGCAGGATCTATTCAGCACTGGCTAAGCCTCTCCTTGTGTTTTGTGTCCAGTTCTGGACACCGCACTTCAAAAAGGAGGCTGACACACTGGAACAAGTTCAGAGGAGGGCGACAAGGACGGTCAGGGGGCTGGAAACCAAACTTTATGAGAAACGGCTGAAAGAATCAGGCATGTTTAGCCTTGAGAAAAAAAGGCTGAGGGGAGATCTGACAGCACTTTTTAAATATTTGTAAGGCTGTCATACAGAGGAGGTGCAGGATTTCTTCTCAACCATCCTAGAGTGCAGGGCATGTAATAATGGGCTCGAGTTACAGGAAATTAGATTTCGGTTGAATAGCAGGAAAAACCTCCCAACTGTTAGAGCAGTATGACAATGGAACCAATTACCCCAAGAAGTGGTGAGTCCTCCTACACTAGAGGCACTCAAGAGAAATTTAGACACCCACCTGGCAGATATTGTCTGATTTGAATTCCTGCACTGAGCAGAGAGTTGGACACGATGGCCTTATAAGCCCCTTCCAACTTCCTGATTCTGTGTTTCTGAGGGTGAATAGTCAGATGTAGAAATATGTCAGATTCCCTGCAAGATCTCTGTGTGAATCCAGAGAATTCTCAGATCGGAAACAGCAACAATTATTGTTTTAACTTTTTGTGATTTTCTGGAACGGAGGACAAGCTTCAGGTGTTCAGGCCCAGTCTATCTTGTCCACATGCCTGGATTACTACTTTCATCATCCCCAAACAGCCATGAGACCTAAGCCATGAGACATGAGCTATCTGTACATTTTGGATGGGAGTAATTTTTATAGTGTGTTTTCATTTAAATAAATTGTTAAAAATGCTTGATTACTACTGTGAGAGGTTTTTTTTTCATCTCTTATAGTTTGCAAATTTGCTTACTTTGTTTTATGATTGGTCTTTGACAGATAAACATAAGCTTTCTCTGCAAGTATGATGGCTCAGGCTTGAAGGACTGCCTAAATCCTATTCTACCTTGGAACACACATGGATTTCTAGCTTCTGATTTCAGTGCAGCTATAATGTTTTTTTTGACCCTCAGTTGTGAAATTCCTATATGCCCCAGGCAAAGAGCAAAGAGAGATTAATTCACCTTAATTCTCCTTCTTTCCATTCCGTCCCCAAAACCACCAAATAATGTATGTGTTGCCTTTGCAGGCTGACTAACGGAAAATTGCAGCTTCCACTGTTAGTTATCATGCTCAGTCAACACTAACTTATTAAGCCTTAAATTATTAAGAAGTATGCTGGAGTGAAGAGCTAATTTAATCAGGCCGGGAAGCATGAACATGTTATTTTCTGTGAGGAATGAAAGGCTTCATATGATGCAGAATTTCCCTCTTGTGGCATATCCCTCTTCTGAGAATTGTACAGCACAAGGATTTTGGTGGCTATTGTTGCAGCTGGCTGTGGAATGTGTGGAGATATGGACAATCCAGAAAGAGGACAAGAAAGGCAGTGGCTAGGCAGGTTTGACTTTGGTTTCCTGAAGTAGCTCCTTCTTGAGGACATGCATTTATAGATATTATAGCGGGCTGAGGGTGCAACGTCCGGAGCCGGAGTCCCGGAGGCAGTTCGTGTCATTCTGTTAACTCCTGCGACGTCGCTGAAACCAGTTGTATTGGCTCTTGGCTTTCCATTGGACTATTTCAGTGACATGGAGAGGGGGGATTTGGTAGTTGGGTAACAGCCTATCCTCCATATTATTTTACCCAGGCTTCATGCCTTGGATAGGACATTCCAGCTTCGCATACAGCGTCAAAACACTAGACGCTGTTCCAAGTCCTCCATACAGAGCACGTTACCATAGTCTCTCGAGACTGAAGAATGCCTATGATGAGGGTGCAACTACACTATAGTTTATTTTAGGGTTGATTTGTGCCAGAGTTTAGTTCCAAGTCCTCCATACAGAGCACGTCATAGTCTCTCAAGACGGAAGAATGCCTGTGATGAGGGTGCAACTACACTACAGTTTACTTTAGGGTTGATTTGTGCCAGAGTTTCTACAGATATTTAATATATCTTCCATTGACTACATGGCATACTTCTAATTGCAAGTCAGCCCAGTAATTCATGGACATTAGTTGCTTTTTGTTCAGCTAGCAGTGGCTAGTGTTTTGTTTTGTTTTTGTAGAGATCCCACTCATGTCTCTCTTTTTTTTCAGTTTCTGGTATATTGTTCTGAAGGGGCAGTGGCAGATGTGCTCTAGAGTGACACTGTTGGTGGGGTGTCTTTTTTAAAAAAAAAATTGGCAAGTGACATAGTGTGAAGTTGATATAACTTGTGGAACTACAGTGCTTATGTAGAGCTACATTGAACCAGCATAATAAAAAAAATATTCAGAGTAGGGACAAAAAGTGCCCACTTGAGGAGGGTATTCTCGTTCTGTTATGGGCTAAGAAAGAATCCTGCCTAAAATGCTGAATTTATGGGATCGATTTTCTATGTTTACTGCTGCATACGGAAGTAACTCATATGACTTCTTAGGGAGCAGTTCTAGGGCTAATATTAACTTCAGAGGTGGAGGGATTCTGGGACAGCAGCAGGAAGGAAAGGGTTAATCTGCTTCCTTGTGCTGCACAGTTCTAACAAAAACTGGGTTTTCTTCAGAGTGAATGGATCTGATGGTTATTATTTTCATTTTTAAAATCTCAAGTCCTTTCTATTTTATTGATAAAGAATTTTTCAAATTGTTGTAGGCTCTTAAAAATGGACAAAAAGTAACTTACCTCTGCATACACAGTAATTTTTAATCATTTACAGCAATAACAACCGATAGACTTTATTTAAATCAAATCAATTGAAATCATGATTAAAATCATGATTTAAATTTTTTAAAATCACGTTTTTGATGATTTAAATAAAAAGGTTGACTTTTAAAAATTTAAACCATGAATTAAATAGATTTTTTTTTAAAAAAATGTTTTATCCATTGTCTGTAACAAGAATGCATAATGTTGTGATATCTTAGTACTACACTGAATTGAATTGCTTTCAAATATTCTGGGGACTTTATTCATCTGCCAGCAGTTCTGCCTAATGAGACCTAAGAAGGCTGAAATCTGAAGCAACCTTGAATAAGCCTTGCCATGGTGTGATTTCCTCTTCCTGCCCTATGTAGTGGCCAGAACAGACTGACCTTGAAAGCAGCTGAATGGGCATGATCTCTCCATTCCTCAAAACCAAAACAATCTTTCTGCCTTTCAACCAGCAAGCCTGGATAACCATGACATTGTTTTATATGGGGATGAATTTTTACAGAAAATGTAGCAATCTTTTTAAGACATGTGAAAATAGTTCCAGACAGAAAGAAACATTCTTTGACCTCCTAAGCAAATATTTATGCTGTTCATTAATAAAGATTTATCTTAGTTTGTGTGGAGGCCTAGAGCAGCGGTCCCCAACCGTTTTAGCCCTGTGGACCAGCTAGGAAAGGCAAAGCATCCCCTGCGGACACACGCATACGTGAAGGAGTAGGGGCACTTGTACGGGCATGCACACTCATGTGGGTGGCACAGCGTTCATGTGAGTGTGCTCGCGTGGAGGTGCAAACAGGCTGTGCGGGGGGAGTGCGTGTGGGGGAGAGGTCTGTCTCCGTGGCCCAGTCCAGCTCAGGCCACGGACCGGCACCGGGCCGCAGACCGGGGGTTGGGGACCTCTGGCCTAGAGGATATCACATGGGACAGAGATGCGAAGTCAAGAAGCAGAAGTGCTAAGGACTGTTAGGATTTTAGAGAGCACACAGCAGCAGACCCAGCCTGGGGTCCAGCTCCCCAAAAAAAAAGAGGTTGTGTACCAAAGGCATGGCAGGCAGCTGTGGCCTGTAAAAGGCTCTCATGGGCAGTCATTTCTGGGCCTCCATTCCTGCTGGGTGGAAGCCCTACATGCCCCTCCTCTACAAGAAGCAAGATCTGATGGAATGTTCATAGGGCTGTATCTCAGGATAGGGACCGGTGGCCATTTTTTCATGCCTTTGTGTGTACAACCCACTTCTGCCCCTTTTCTGTACCGATCTGTACTTTTTAAAAAACCATATAAAACTTTATATTTAAATATGAGTTTCTGAATTCATCAGAATGGAAACAGCGACCTTAACCGGGCTTTCAAGGGAAGTGAAATATTTAAGGAGTGGTTTTACCAGTTCCACTCACCCAGGAAGTTTCTGTGGCTGAACAGGGATTCAAACCCTGGTCTCTAGAGTCCTAATCCTAAATATATCACTCTCTCCCTTACATCACACTGGGCATTGAAAGCACATTAGAAACATGCATTTCTAAATACATTTGAAAAATTTTATATGAATTAAAAATTCACATCACAAAGTTTGATGTGAAACCACATCACAAAGTTTGATGTTATCCAAATCCTGATT